CAGCATGGTTATCAATATGGTTCTCCCTCTTATAACAACAGTGCTTCACACCAAATTTGAAAAGAATCTATTAAAAACTGTAGCCGCTATCGCATTCACAAGTTTTTCAACAATAGGGCAGACGTGTCAAATAACAAGTTTTTTCTGTGAGACTCACAGATTCATGACCTTTCTCCGAATCACGCGCGCGGAGGAAATTTTTCCAGGAAAATGGTTATATGCCAATAGATAAAATCCGCTAACGTGTCACGTGACTTGAAATGGATGTTTACATTTGTCTCAAAACGAGGCTACGTTACAATTTGTAGTAATAAGTGTGTAAAAAAAATGTTTCTTAGATTTTTGTAAGAGCCAGTGATTAACTTTGTATTGTATAAAATAACTTTTTCGTATAATATATATACCAGTACCGTAACTAATAACTGATTTATATGTGCAGTTGTAATTGAATCTTCGATTGATAGTAGACTTAATTAGCTACCACTACCAGCACTCAGCAGCGAATAGGCTATCGCGGTACGCTGAATTGACGGCATTATTATTGCTATTGAAGCATACCATGGCTTCTACTTCACTGCATTGTGTATGTTGTTCTAACCAGGCTGGTTGTTGCACGTGTGTTACAAAGCTGATAAAACACTGGACCAAATCCCTTCATAGTTTTCCCCAAAATAATCCAGTCACATGGGCCGAATGGTTAAAACAAGCAGGTAAAAAGAATATTGGCGAAAAAAGTTACAAATTCTTTCATGAAGCCTATGACATATACGCAGCACAATATCGGCCTGACTCTGTAGGGGATATATTTTACTATATTAAAGCTAGATGTTATCGATCACTGAAAAAAACCGAAGAACCACATTATATATATCTAATACTCGAAGCAACAGGCGAAGTTGAAAAACACGCCTCTGTGCACACAGCTCACTGTTCGTGTAAGGGGGGAAGTGGAGGACACTGTAACCACGTATTCGCTCTAATATTTCAGTTGAATGATTTTTCGTGTTTGGCAATAAAAGACATACTGATGGATGAGTGTTGCACCAGTCGGCCACAAACTTGGCACATTTCCCGGGCAAAAAATATATGCCCATTGCCTGTCATGGGAATGCATTTTGCACGTGCAGCAACTGATTATAATAATGAAAGAAAACGAGATCCTATTAGATGCAAGCTCTTTGATGCTAAAGGCCCCACGATTAAATCCTGCTTAGAAAAGGAACATGTTGATTCTCAAGGGGAGTATTTGAAAAATAAAGAAAAACCTCACCCATTTTCGTATTTGTTGAGCGATCAACAGCCGGGTGTCCTCATTAATACTGTATTCGGGAACATGCCACTCGGTTCGTGTTTGTCACACCAAATGCAAGATTTTGGTCGTCCAAGTGCCAAATTCATAAATAATATTATAAAATAAGTACAATTTGAAAATAGGCCCAAGTTTATTAACTTTCCGGATATCCCAATAGTTAATCCTAGTGAAAACGCTTTCCATTTAGATATGCCGGATTTGTCCATAAAAAAACTTTTGCCTTGATCACATTTTGATAGATATACATGATTCTCATAGTTTGGAGAAACATACAGTTCTGCAAAATGATTGCACTGAGTGGTATGAACATAAATATAGATTAACGGCTTTTAATTTTAATAAAATATATTCACGGGTTAAAATACCTACAGTACAAATGCCATGCTTAATTCAATATTTTTATCCAAAGATTTATCCAACATTAAAGCTATTAAACAAGGTAAATTAATCGAAAAAATAGCAAGAACAATTTAAAAGGAAACATCCAAATGAATACTTTTGTCAAGTTCAGGGACAATTAGCGCTCACAGGATTAAAATGGTGTGATTTCTATGCATACCTTTCTGAATCTAATGAAATGTGTGTTGACAGAATATATTTTGACAATGTTTTTTGGACAAATGAACTTTTCCCCCAAACTTTCTGATTTCTACTTGCATTATGCAATGAGATTTCTTATACATGGACATATAGTTTATTTCTTATTTATAAAATTAAATATTTAGAACAATAAAATTACCACTTCGAATATCAGATCTATAATACTCAGTGTATCTGTTACATTGGGTTACATGCAGATTAGCATTGTGAAGAAAAAAAATAACTCACTTCCTTGGCTGAAAATACAACCCCAATTTTTATAATTAGGCCTTCAAATCCAACCTTATTTCTGAGAAAAGGTGGAATATTCAAATGTAGTTTAAGCTTGCACAATTCTTCGTGAATTTCAAAACCTTTGTCGGCCATTACTCCGTCACCCTCGTTTATCTTCCCGTGAGCAACCTTTTGCCTCAAAACCTCCAAAAAACCAGACCTAGTTACTATCTGTTTATCGCTTATTGACCCTCCGTAAAGTTGTGATAGAAACATAATTCATCCGTTCGGATCTACGCCTATAAGACCTGTTAATGTTGTGTGCGATTTATAATAACTGTAACTTTCACTGTGTTTTGTACTTGGAACCTGAATTTTAAGCTCAGTTGCATCAATAATTATTAAATTATTCGGATAAATATCAAGATTGTCTTTCGTAGAATTTTCTAAGATAATAGTGCGATGTGGCCAAATTTTGAGACTACCTAAAGTAAGGTATAAGTTATTTATCCATGTGTGAAAAATATTAGTTACCGTGCCATCAGATATACAAAATCTCTCACCGAGATCAATATTTGTTAAACCCATTCTCAGTTTCATTAGCAGTAGAAGATAATTGTCTTCTATTAGTAATTTATGGGCTCTCGGTCTTGTTTTGATTTGATCAGTTTGGGTGGCATTTTCATGTACAGAAATATCTTGTGTGTCATTGTTATCAAACAAGTTTTCGGTATCAATCTGACTTGATTTTGCTGCATTTGTATTCCGATATGTTAAAAGTTTTCGGTCAATTTCAGGTAGAGCAAACTTTCAGCTATTATAAAACTCCTCGTGGGAATTAAATCCGGTGAAGTGTGTGAACAATTTAAATTATTTCTTAGCACTTGTACACTTCGACAGTAAATGTGAAACTGAAAATTTATGCGTGCATGATATTTGTTGAAAACGTCTCTCAAGGTCACCACAGAAGTCATCATCAAATGTTTGGGTTTTTCGAGTTATGATGTGACCAGTGACACTGTCTCCCTCTCCCTCCGATGCTGTATCTGTCGCTTCGTCCTCTTCCACTCGTCTAGCGGTCAATTTTGTTAAAACATTAGAGTGTCTTGAAATTACATCCTTTGTCCATTCAAAAATTTGTGGTATAGCATCGGATTTCAATCTTTTTTTACTAGCATCAGGCTCAATGAAAACCTCGGGTTAAAAATGTTCACTACATATTTTTGTTAAAGAATTAACATTAAAAAATCTAGGGTCTCGTTTCATTTTCACGATCCATGCTTTTAAGAGAGATTTGTTGTTTATTGGAAGACCATAAAAAGATAAGTCCTTACGCTTTTCGGAATTGTTTTTACACCCTCCTGCACAACAATAGTGCAGCATAATAATAATAATAACAATGGCCGGTGTCGGCATGAAGGGCGAGGCCTACACCGGTCCGGTACCTAAATGTTAGTCACAAGAATGTGGACAAATCGATAATAATAACATAATATTAAAACAATAGTAAGTCGTATATGTTTGGGATAAACACTTGGGAGTTCTGTAATGTTAATATATTAAACTTGATTAGCCTTATAAAACTATAAACAGTTTGTTTATGTTGTTACAAGAACCATTACACATGCTACGCTGTGTCGCGAAAGTTGTAGTGTTGTTTGTACCCAATTCAGATCACGTGACATGCTCGATGACCTTAGCTGGTTTTGTCTATGCTATATTTATTTTCACGAACAGATGTAACTCCCTTACTTCGTTTCATAAATCGACCTTATGATGGGCTGAATTTGACCGGAAACTTCTGATTTTGGTAATACGCTTGACAACCCAACGTGTTTGTGATTACATGTAATAAATAAAGTATATTGTAACGGTAGCAGAGTATGTGAGCATACCAGATAAAATAGAGACCTATACAAGGTTCTTTCCACTACTGTCATTTTTCTCCATGGCTAGTAAACATCTATCTATGCGATTTTTACAAGAACATTTCACGTCACATGACCTTAGCGTGAAATCGGAAGCCAATGACTGAAATTTAGTCGCCTTCAATCTGCGATATTGGGTTACTTTTTCATTTAAATATATTACTAGCGATTGTATTATACTAATTTGATATCGATCTCAATATATGCAAATAATCTGACTAAAAAGTTATCAAAATATAGCCACAATTACCGTTTATGTATGGGAGACACTTCGGGGAAAATACCGCTATGATGTGACGTTTCTGGGGATTTCGATTCACGCGATTTTTACAGGTTTTGCAGAATGAAATTTGCTCATTTCGACTAAATGTAGCCTGCTTTTTATCTGATATCAAGATTATTAATATTTTATATTATCTTTTTCATTGATGGTCTTCTGTTTTTTCATACCTGGGGGTTGACATGTCTGCAATAGGGGATAACTCTGGAAAGTAAGCTTGCAGAATGAGGATGGGGGGGGGGCTAACAAGGGGAAACGTATTGTCATTCAGATGGGACAAAAAAAGAGTTGTTGTGTTCATATTAGACTGCACCTAAATGAACCCTTGACAGTTGGAATTCGAAAGAAGGGTAGGTCGTACTCCCGCTGTCGAGGCAAAATATCCGTCATAGTACACTATATGCGTATGACTGTCTTATAAGCCCAGTCAGTACAGAACAGTAGGATGTTAAACCCCATTTCATTTCATTTCATTTCACTTGTTAAATGAACATTTGTTAAAATGAACAGGTAGATTCTTGGAAACAGTTTTATAAAAGTTCTTGTGTTATTTACCTATAGAATCACAATTTGACAATCTTTATAAATTCTGTATACAGACAACTTTCCAGCTGTGGGCTAGGTATTGTTTCGTTGGAACACATGTTTTACTTTTGTGTAATTTCAGGTAGTCTTCATGTATTTATTGTTCTGTGTGTAGAATTAGGAGAACAGGTATGTGATTATTTTGCACTATTTGACATCTTTATGAACTTATAGCTTTTGTTGATTGTTTTGTTATGAACCAAATATGAACATTTTATGCATTCTGATTAGAATTGTTTGTCAATTCAGATACTTTTTATCCGGCACTGAGATATCTTTATGAAACTTTGTAAAAACATCAACATATATAGTAGTTGTGTCTTTTGCTAATTGGACATTTCTTGAATTTAATCATTTTTATACGCCCACATGGAAATGTGGACGTATATTGCCGTCGCCCCCGTCAATCTGTCCATCGTCCACAATTTCTTGTGAACGCTCTAACACCAAAAGTTATCATCCAGTTGTTTTAGAATTGATATATGTTGTATACATTAGTGAGATGAAGAAGCCTATTTAATTTCAATAATTTCTGTTTATTACGTCTAGAGTTATGGCCCTTGTTTCACTTTGTTTAACCTTGTGAACGCTCTAACGCCAAAAGTTATCTTCCTATCTTTCTGAAATTTATATGCATTATTTAAATTAGGGAAACAAAGAAACCTATTGAATTTCAGCAATTTCCGTTTATTATGTCTAGAGCTATGGCCCTTGTTCCACATTATTGAACATTGTGAATGCTCTAAAATCAAAAGTTATCTGTCGATCAGTATGAAATTTACATGCATCATTTAAATTAGTAAAGAGAAGAATCCTATTGAATTTCAGCAATTTCCGTTTATTACTTCTAGAGTTATGGCCCTTGTTTTACTTTTTTCAACCTTGTTAATGCTCGATTAATGAAAGTTATCATCCGATATGTATGACATTTATATGGCTACTTCTTCAGTATAGGAACCCTGCCAATAGCCTTGTAAAAACATAGCTGCAGTCTTTCACACTGTGGGGAAATTTCTATCAGTTGATTTCATCATAGAGAGGATGTTTCTTTGAGATAGTTGAGACAATTTGAAGGACTTGTGTGTGAAATTTGTCATTGCCTGTCGCAAAACAATCGAAAATTCCCTAAAAATTCAACTGAAATTAAATAAAGTACTGCATATTCTCAGAATCGCTGCATTCCTGGACAGTAATTTACACCCACCTCTGTAAAACCTGGGTTTTTACATGCCTTCATTTAATGCTCTATGAGAAAAGTGGGTTGGAGGGATAACTTTATTTTGTCATTGTCATCCTTTTTGGCCCAGAAAATGGCCCATTAATAATGTAACGTTCTGTCCATTTATTTTACTTTTATTTTTGTTTATGAATATCCTTAATTTTCGCATACGGTCGATTTTAAAAGCTAGAGTTATTTTCTGTCCAAGTTCAGTTCCGTTACGTTATGTAATGTCAGTCAATTGAAACTGGATAACGGGACACTCCCACTACCATATTCGGCATCGATAGTTGCGCAGTCAACAGCTTGTCATTTTTCATCCGCCAATCTCCGGTATTTTTATGCAGTTCTCATCTGATAAGTAAATGCGCATGTTCTGTCCAAAGTGTTACGTTAGAGTTAAGTTACGTTAACTTTAATAATGAAATCAATAGGATAAGAAATTTATCATTGTGCGGTTACCGTAATGGCCATTTTTTTTTAGCTTTATGTAAGTCGCGAGAGGTGGGGAGCATTTTTCGCAAGAAGACAGAAAGTTGGAATGATCGTATCGTAACAAGACGGAATTATATCGTAACAAAGACGGAATGCCACTGTACCCAAACTGGGAGGGTTGGTGAAGGAGCAGATACATCTTAAAACAAGACCTATCACGATATGCAGTTTGTCGGTACAGGTACTTGTCAGTAGTCGCGGTCTTCCAGTACTTCGATGTTTTTGCTTTGGTGCTCTGAAGAATTCAATCTTGAGTGTTTTGGGGTTTTTTCTTTTCTTTTTTAAATCCCATTTTCCATCGATGATTTTGTCATGGATAACTAAAGCAAAACTAAATAGTTTTATTAATCCATTTTTGACGATAGCAAATTAGTTCGCACCCATCGCGGCCCCATCATTATTCATAGCCTAGCTGTCACGCCGTGTCAATGACTCTGGCATTATTCCAATATTTTCACATTGTCACTTACGGCTAATAATTTTGTGATGTGGAGAGTGAAATGGAATCAGATTTTTTAATATTTACTGCCAGGCATATCGTGGAATATGATAATGTCTAAGAAATCGACTATTTATTATTTTATTGGACGTTATGATGCGAAGAATGCGTATACTCCAGCCAAGATCAAGCGTGTCGCCGCCAGCTTGGATACACTTTCAAACAGACGATAACACAAAACTTACGGCTAAAAATGCTAGACTTTGAAAAGCTAAATTGAATCAAAACTTTTAGGATTTAATACAAGCTACATAGAGGAATATAACATTGTCGAAGATTTCAACTATATATTTTTATTTTCGACGCAATGAAGCAAAGAAGACGACCATACTTGCATATATCCAAAGAAAGGCAGAAATGTTTAATTGCCGAAAGCGATGAAGTGACCGTCATTTGAGGTGATATTTCTTTTTAAAAGTTATATTTATATTTACTTTGAACACTGCTGCCAACGTGAGGCACAACATTTTTCTATTTTTAAAAAAAAATCTTAGGGAATACTTGTTCACGTTATTTTACCATTATGACAGAAAAAAGTAATAATTTTAGTGGAATGACTTTTCAATGTAATATAAATTTAATTGCTACTTTGTACAGTTGACTTTTATATCATTAGAAAGAACACGACAATCTGTACATTTTTGTAACAGAGTATATCTATGTATAAAAAATATTTTTTAGTTATTTTCAATTTTGTAAAGAGGGTATTAGGATTAACAATAATCCAGGGAGATGGGCCCTGCTGATTTAATGACCTTAGGGGTAGGATAGCTAATCTTTTAATTGGCTCAGGGTTAAAAAAACAAAACAAACACGTAATTGTTTTGACCTAGCTTGTGCCTCAGTATTATGATTGACAGTAACCAACAAGGTTTTCTAATTTTTTTGCAAAATAAATGTTGTATTGTAACAAGAATAATTGTACAAGAATAAACAAAATAATATCGTAACAAGTTACTCATAACTCTTGCAAAGTAAAAAACCAAAGTTTATTATAAACCAAGCTACTTTTATAGGATAGTAAGGCATGAATATGTTTGATCATCAACTTGTTTTGTCTACATACTCAAAAGGTCTGGTTAAATTTTGTTGTTATCTTTTCACTTCAGATGTAATAGTTAATACCATCCCTTGATGCTGATACATACATGTTACACTTATTGTTATGTTATTTTTATACGCCCACATTTTCATGTGGACGTATTATGCCTTCGTCCGTCCGTCCGTCCGTCCACAATTGTTTGTGGACTCTCTACAGGTCACAATTCTTATCCGATTTCGACGAAACTTGAAATATAGGTTTATCCCCAAAAGATCTCGGCTGCTTTTTCGATATTGGCATGTATCGGATCGAAACTTCATGGATTATGGCCCCTGTTTGTACGAAAAATTGTTTTTAGCTTGTGGACCCTATAGAGGTCACAATTTTTATCCGATTTTGTTGAAACTTAAATTGTAAGTTTATAACCCAAAGATCTCAATTCCTTTCGATATTTGCGCATATCGGACAGTAACTTCCTGAATTATGGCCCCTGATTGTACGAAAAATCACGTTTTTAGCTTGTGGACCCTATAGAAGTCATAATTCTTATCCGATTTAAAAAAACGTTCTATTATATCACTGTTACACCCTAAGGATGACTGAGTTCGAATTTCGTGAAAATCGGCCCAAAATTGACAGACAAAATGGCCGCCATTCGTTCCCAAATAGCGTAAGAATATGGTATATCAAGGTTGTGGACCCTATAGGGGTCACAATTTTTATCCGATTTTGTTGAAACTTGAAATGTAAGTTTATAACCCAAAGATCTCGGTTCCTTTCGATATTCGTGCATATCGGACCGTAACTTCCTGAATTATGACCCCTGATTATACGAAAAATCACGTTTTTAGCTTGTGGACCCTATAGAAGTCATAATTTTTACTCGATTTAAAAAAACGTATTATTATATCACCGTTACACCCTAGGGACGACTGAATTCAAATTTCGTGAAAATCAGCCCAAAATCACGTTTTTAACTTGTGAACACTGTAGAGGTCACAATTTTTATCCGAATTGATTCAAACTTGAAATATATGTTTATAACCCAAAGATCTCGGTTCCTTTCGATATTCACGCATATCGGACCGTAATTTCCTGAATTATGGCCCCTGATTGTACGAAAAATCGCGTTTTTAGCTTGTGGATCCTATAGAGGTCATAATTTTTAACCGATTTAAAAAAACGTATTATTATATCACCGTTACACCCTAAGGACGACTGAGTTTGAATTTCATGAAAATCGGCCCAAAATTGACAGACAAAATGGCCGCCGTTCATTCTCAAATAGCGTAAAAATATGGTATATCAAGGTTGTGGACCCTATAGCGGTCACAATTTTTATCTGATTTTGTTGAAACTTGAAATATAAGTTTATAACCCAAAGATCTCGGTTCCTTTCAATATTTGCCCATATCAGACCATAACTTCCTGAATTATGGCCCCTGATTGTACGAAAAATCATGTTTTTAGCTTGTGGACCCTTTAGAGGTCATAATTTTTATCCGATTTAAAAAAACGTATTATTATATTACCGTTCCACCCTAAGGACAGTTGAGTTTGAATTTTGTGAAAATCGCCCCAAAATTAACAGACAAAATGGCCGCCGTTCGTTCTCAAATAGCGTAAAAATATGGTATATCAAGGTTGTGGACCCTATAGAGGTCACAATTTTATCCAATTTTGTTGAAACTTGAAATGTAAGTTTATAACACAAAGATCTCAGTTCCTTTCGATATATGCGCATATCGAATTGTAATTTCCTGAATTATGGCCCTTGATTGTAGGAAAAATCACTTTCTTGTCAGCTTGTTCTCTATCCATCTCTCGAAAATGTGGGCGTATCCTGCCTGGCAGCTGCTGGTTATGTTATTTATTATAAAAGAAGTTATTTCTATGTTACATATTAAAAAATAAATTGGATTTTAAAATTGTATCTTATTTAGTTACGATTATTGTTTTTTTTCCGTCCAGTTACATTACTAATGTGTGCTAGCCTCTTGGACGAGATTGAATTTTAGAGAAATACATAATTAGATTTTGAATATTGGAGTTGGTTATTATTATAGTTAAACTTATACCATTAATTTAGAAGAAAATTGAATAAATTATATTGAATATCGACTGTGAAATGGCAACTGTAATTTCGTCTTACTCATTCAGTAGCTTGCTTAAAAGAAAAATGAACTTTCGACTAATCCTTGTGCTAAACCTTATCATTCCAGTCAGTTGTTTCTGTTATTTCCTTAAGGAATTCATTGAGAAGAATGGGTAGAATCATCAATTTACTCGATATTCTTATGTAACCTTGAAATAACTGGCCCCGTTGAAATTCCGTCCAAGTTACATTACCACCCTGACCACTTTCACATATTTTAATATATTGCTTTGTAGTGATTATAAGTTATCTTCTAAGTATTATTTTCTGATAATTAGATTGTTAGAGATTCAGAAAAACCATAAGATCAATATATTATCTTGTTTATATTTTTGTCAATTCAAACACCCTATACTGAAGAAAGAGCCATATGCATCATTTAAATTTGTGGAACAGAGGTCTATTGAATTTCAGCAATTTCCGTCAATAATTTCTAGAGTTATGGCGGTTGTGAACCTTGTGAACGTTTGAATGACAAAAGTGATCATCTGATCTGTATGGAATTTATATGCATCATTTAAATTTGTGAAACAGAGGTCTATTGAATTTCAGCAATTTCCATCAATAATTTCTAGAGTTATGGCGGTTGTGAACGTTTGAATGACAAAAGTGATCATCTGATCTGTATGAAATTTATATGCATTATTTAAATTAGTAAAACGAAAAAGCCTGTCAAATTTCAACAATTTCTGTAGATTACTTCCAGAGATGAGACCCTTGTTGCAGTTTGTAGACCCTTGTAAACCTCAAACGGCAAAAATTATAATCTGATCTCTATGGAACTGTCTTGTAAAGGCCCCCAATTACCTACAAAGGAATAAATATGCGACAACTCTTGTCGACCAGGCGGACGATTTAGTTGCTGTGGGCGTAGGCTATGTTTTGTTGCCTGGCAACCTATCTTTGTGTTTCCATGTTTAAAGGGCATATGGCTCTATTCTTTGGAACCTTAAATAGACGAAAATGGGTCTCTAGTTGTTCGAATGGGACGAAAAACAGAGGTCCTGTGTACACATTGGCGTACATGTAAAAGATCCCTTGACAGTTGGATTTCGATATAAGAGTAGGCCGTTATGCTTCTGTCCTGGCAAAATTTTCCTCATAGCACAATGTATGGCGTATGCCCGTCTTCCTTAGCCAGTTAGGAGCAGAACAGTAGGACGTTAAACCCCATTTCATTTCATTTTTATTTGCTCACATTGAAATGTGGTTGTATATTGTTGTTGTCCCCGTCCGGCGTCCACAATTGATTGTGGAAGCTCTAGATGCTAAACCTAATATCCGATTGACTTTTGATTTATGCACAGTTTTTATATGCCCAGATTGAAATGTGATATATAATAATTAATAGAATGCAATATCAATAAACTATCATTTTTTCCATTGGCCTGTTAGTAAAGACACTAACGTCTTCAGGGACGAAAAACTAAATACAAAATGACGAAGTCAATTAGGAATGATGACGTCATGGACTTAGATACATAACATTAAAGGTAACAAGAGCAACGCTACCGCTGCAATCTACATCCACATTCCTGCTTTGATTGATATGGTACTTTTTATACGCCCACATTTTCATGTGGACGTATTATGCCGTCGCCCCTGTCCGTCCGTCCGTCCGTCCACAATTTGTTTGTGGACACTCTACAGGTCACAATTCTTATCTGATTTTAACGAAACTTGAAATATAGGTTTATCTCCAAAAGATCTCAGCTGCTTTCGATATTGGCATGTATCTGATCGAGACTTCATGGATTATGGCCCCTGTTTGTACGAAAAATCATGTTTTTGGCTTGTGGACCCAATAGAGGTCACAATTTTTATCTGATTTTGTTGAATCTTAAAATATAAGTTTATAACCCAAAGATCTCAGTTCCTTTCGATATTCGCGCATATCGGACCGAAACTTCCTGAATTATGGCCCCTGATTGTACGAAAAATCACGTTTTTTGGTTTGTGGACCCTATAGAGGTCATAATTTTTATCCGATTTAAAAAAACGTATTATTATATCACCGTTACACCATAAGAATGACTGAGTTTGAATTTCGTGAAAATCGGCCTAAAATTGACAGACAAAATGGCCACCGTTCGTTCTCAAATAGCGTAAAAATATGGTATATCAAGGTTGTGGACCCTATAGAGGTCACAATTTTTATCCGATTTTGTTGAAACTTGAAATATAGGTTTATCCCCAAAAGATCTCGGCTGCTTTCGATATTGGCATGTATCGGATCGAAACTTCCTGAATTATGGCCCCTGATTGTACGAAAAATCGTGTTTTTAGCTTGTGGACCCTATAGAGGTCATAATTTTTATCCGATTTAAAAAACCATATAATTATATCACCGTTACACCATAAGGACGACTGAGTTTGAATTTCGTGAAAATCGGCCCAAAACTGACAGACAAAATGGCCACCGTTCGTTCTCAATTAGCCTAAAAATATGGTATATCAAGGTTGTGGACCCTATAGAGGTCATAATTTTTATCCGATTTTGTTGAAACTTGAAATGTAAGTTTATAACACAAAGATCTCGGTAGCTTTTGATATTTGCGCATATCGAATTGTAATTTCCTGAATTATGGCCCTTGATTGTAGGAAAAACCAATTTCTTTTTAGCTTGTTCTCTATCCATCTTTCAAAAATGCGGGCGTATCCTGCCTGGCAGCCGCTGGTTAAATCAACCTGATATCAACTGGTTTATACGTGACCTGTCAAAGCGTGCAAGATGGAGAAATGAAATGTCAAGAATGAATGAATAAAAGGGGTACAAAAAATGTCCATACAGCTCTTAAGTTTTACTACAGAAAATCTCTTGTTATGATTGAGTTTTCCATGGAATTTGAGAAATAAATGTTTAATGTTTTACAGTTTATTTATCTATAGCGTCACTAGATTAATTCACAAACCAGTGAAAGGGCACTAGTACGGCTAAATAGATCACTAGCCTGTAAATTATTTTTGGTAGCCCCGGGTGTCAGGCTAGTGAATTTTTACAACCCTGTGACGTAACAGCTTGGCAGAATAATAAGACTGTGCACATTCTTTCTACTAACTATAATGCTGAAATGTCTGAATGCAAGAGGATCAACGCAACTGAAAGACCACGGGTGGAATTTGGTGGGAAAAATCAACTAAAAAGATGGACATAGTGTGCGTATCTCTTGTCCACCCGTACAATAATGCGATAAAATATTCCAGCTCCTGAACCCCCTTCAAACGCATTAGGACAACATATCATTACGCTCTATTCCCAATATTCAAAAGAAAAATATCAAAACATCACAAAAATCTCTTTATTCCATCGCAAATAAATCAAGAATAATTAAATAATTATGAACATAACTGAAATAATATTTGTTAAGTAACACTTGTTCAGCTGTCAGGTGATGAGGGAGCACTGTCCCCAGTGTAATCCACTCTGGCCCAGTTCAGACTGAAATCAAAATAGGGTCGAAAGTACAACTTCTCTCCCATTCTGGTACAAATAAACACTGATACTATAAATACTTTCCCTGAAGTGATAATAAATTTCATTCTATAAAACATTAAGAAATACTACTAGACTAGTACTAAACCAGATCAAATCACACAAGGAGACAAGACTCCCTCACCCCTGACCCACGTGAATAAGAAATCCACTTAAGGCATCAGTGTCCCTCGGGTCAGTGGTAAGATCGTTCCCATCTATCAACATGCAAATCATTACACCCATCATGTAAACAAGAAAACAGAAATACAAACAAATGGGACTAAGTGATCACACCACATTGTCACAACCCAATTGTCTAAATCCCCGATCATAGCTGATGACACTCACTACAGTTCATTACAAACAGGTGCACTGACCTACTTGTCCACAATCAAGCATGTAAACAATTTACACACAAATAAGACACTTATCTGTTGTGCATTCAATTAATCAATTGTGTCGATCTAAGATAATATTGCTACAAATAACATTCACCAATAAATTTCTCCACTGAAAATTACTAATTCTGTCGCACAAATAATTTCACGCCACCAAGGCTTTCCTATTTCCATCAGGACTTTTAAAAGTTGAATACCACCAAGGTATAACCCAAAGCCACCAAGCACGGGGAGATGCATAGTGTGTAGAACTGGCCCCAACTTACTCAACTTTCAATCACTGTTTATGAGTAATATCTTTCAACAAAAGTTATCATCCCATCTGTATGAAATTGATATCAGTATCTTGTAAATGCCCCCATTATCTACAAAAGAATAAATATGCGACAACCCTTGTCGACTGCAAGGACGATTTAGCTCCTGTGGGCATGTTTCATTGCCTGGCAACATATCTTCCAAAAACCTTGTGAACGCAATAGAACCTCTAGTTTTTTTATACACCCATATAGAAATGGTATATATAAGTTGTATGCTGCTTTTGTCGAAAACATTGTGAATGTGATAATTCAACCGATTTTAACAAATATTTTTCAAATTTGGTGTGAAGCATTAGGTTCATGACAGGACAAACATTCTGTGTTAGGCAACTTTACGTTCCAGCCACTTTACATGCCGAAAAAAAACTTTTGAACACTATAACCGCTTCTATTTTTAACAGACTTTCTTTTTGTCAATTTCGATGTGAAGCATTTTGACAATGAGCCCTACCAATTTTCCCAATTCACCGTCCATCTCTTGCAAAATGTAGGTGTATCTTGGCATTACAACCGTTTGTCATTTTAGGAATTAACATTAAAAGTTGGAAATGATAAAACAGCTAGAAATCAATTCCCTGCTACACAAGTGACTGCAATTAGGTAAGTACGTCTTTTTTAGGCGTTAATGTTGTGGTGCAAATTCTGGGGTTATGGCCCCTGTCCTTTGCCCAAAATATGAAATATGTGCAAAGTTTATGGACCCTCTAGACCCACAATTTTTGTACAATTTAGATGAAACTTAAAATATATAAGGATCAAAAGATCTTGGATGATTTTGATTTTGATGCACATCAGACTTTGTATTCTTCAGTTATGTTAAAATTTATATATGTTGTTTACATTAGTGAGATGAAGAAGCCTATTTTATTTCAAAAATTTCAGTTTATTACGTCTAGAGTTATGGCCCTTGTTTCACTTTATTGAACCTTGTGAACGCTCTAACGCCAAAAGTTATCATCGGATCTTTCTGAAATTTATATGTATTATTTGAATTAGTGAAACGAAGAATCCTATTGAATTTCAACAATTTCCGGTCACTACATCTAGAGTTATGGCCCTTGTTTCACTTTACTGAGCCTTGTAAACGCTGTTAAAGCCAAAAGTTATCACCCAATCTTTGTGAAATTTATATGCATGATTTAAATTAGGGAAACGAAGAAGCCTATTGAATTTCAGCAATTTCCGTTTATTACGTCTTGAGTTATGGCCCTTGTTTCACTTTATTGAACCTTGTGAACGCTCTAACGCCAAAAGTTATCATCAGATCTTTCTGAAATTTATATGCATTATTTAGATTAGTGAAACGAAGAAGTCTATTGAATTTCAGCAATTTCCGTTTATTACATCTAGAGTTATGGCCCTTGTTTCACTTTATTGATCCTTGTGAACGCTCTTAACGCCAAAAGTTATCGCCCAATCTTTGTGAAATTTATATGCATGATTAAATTAGTGAAACGAAAAAGCCTATTGAATTTCAACAATTTACAATGATTACTTCTAGAGTTATGGCCCATGTTTCACTTTGTCAAACCTTGTTAATGCTCGATTGATGAAAGTTATCATATATGTATGAAATTTATTTGCATCATTTAAATTTGTGAAACAGAGGTCTATTGAATTTCAGCATTTTCCATCAATAATTTCTAGAGTTATGGCGATTGTGAACGTTTGAATGACAAAAGTGATTATGTGATCTGTATGAAATTTCTATGCATTATTTAAATTAGTTAAACGAAAAAGCCTGGCAAATTTCAACAATTTCTGTAGATTACTTCCAGAGTTGAGACCCTTGTTTCAGTTTGTAGAACCTTGTAAACCCTCAAACGACAAAATTTATAATCTGATCTGTCTTGTAAAGGCCCCCAATTACCTACAAAGGAATAAATATGCGACAACCCTTGTCAACCGCTCGGACGATTTAGCTGCTGTGGGCGTATGTTTTGTTGCCTGGCAACCTATCTTTGCAAGGGTAAATGAACACCATCCAATCATACGCGTAGCTACAAAAACAGCCGAAAGAATACAAACTTTTTTATTTTCATGTTTTGGGTTTTTTTTTAATTTTATGCCTCTATCATGTAAATATTCTTAATTTAAATAAAATATCATAATTAATATATATGACCGGCCGCAGCTAAATGAGTCGGAATGCACGAGAATCAATAATGAGATAAAGACAAAATAAGTGAAAATATTGATTTTGAACGAAATTGAGATTTTCACTAAAATGAGTCTATAAATAAACTATCTATCGACACAGAAGATCAAAATAGCAATAAAACATTTTAAAACACCTGTATTTGAACGTTTTATAAGAGTACCGTATTCTTAAATCTGTCCTATTTCTTAAAATTCTCGGCGAAATTAGTTATTTTTCGTCGCTCACAGCGGGCGGACCGGTCATTCCTCTTGCATAACAATTGGCATCGTTGTAAAGCGGAGCATCTCTAGTTTATAAATATGATCAAAATATTGTTGAAGAATTGATTTTGAACGGATACAATCGAGTTTTAAAACCTCCAAAAATATAAATAAACTCTGCCTGTTGCCATGCTGTCCACACAAATCCTTTGCTGATTGGCCAAGACACCGCATGCAAGACATTATCGATAAATATTTGGTTTTGGCGATAATGTTTTTGGGTACCTACATGTGATTCACTCTGATAAGTGGCAGAAAAAAAATTAATTCTGATCGTATAGATTGCCGTCGAGTGTTAATTGAAACCACGTGGCTGATGATGTAAATTAATCGACAAGCGGGTGTGTGTCATTGAGTAATACTATTACTAATCAACTGTCACGGGTCAATGATAAAGCCGTCAAAAACTCATTATTTACTCCGAATAATTAATCCAAGTGGTGATTTTTTGATATCTCATATCATCTTTAAAAAAAATAATCTATAGGCCTTAAATGGAAATAAACAAAATGGCCAATAATTGTCTGCCAGATTTATGGCCCTTGGTCACTTTGAAAAATCTTGTGGACGCTCTAGAGGCTAACGTTAATATCCGATCGACTTTAATGTTATACTCAATGATTAAGGTCATGAGACGAAGACACCTAGATATTTTCAAGGATTTCAGATAATTACTGCCAGATAATTACTGGTGGACGCTCTAGAGGTTAAAGTTAATATCCAATTGACTTTAAATTTATACACAGTGTTGAAGGTCATTAGGCGAAGAATCCTATTGATTTTCAGCGATTTCTGATAATTACTGCCAGAATTATGGCCCTTGATCACTTCAAAAAATCTTGTGAATGCTCTAGAGGCTAAAGTTAATATCCTACTGTCCATCCGGCGTCGACAAGCAATTGTGAAAGCTCTAGAGGTTAAAGTTAATATCTGATTGACTTTAAATTTATACACAGTGTTTGAGGCCATGAGATGAAGAATCATATTGATTTTCAGGGATTTCCGATAATTACTGCCAGAGTTATGGCTCTTGATCACTTTGAAAAATCTTGTGACCCTCTAGAAGCTAAAGTTATCATCCGATTGACTTCAGATTCATACACAGAGTTTAAGATCTTGAGACGAACAAGTATAATGATTTTCAAAGAATATTTATGACTTGAACAGCTAAATCCATGATATTAAAATTTTCGTATACTAAACGTTAGCATGGGGCAGAACTTTATAAAAACCAAACAAATTGTAATGGTTTTCTGATAATTACTTAATTAGTTGTTACTCTTAATCAGATTTTAATGTATTATAAATGTTTCATTACCGAAAAAAGTAAAAATATGCGACAACTCTTGTTGACTGACGGACAATATAACTGCTGTGGGCGTATGTTTCGTTGCCTGGCAACCTATCTTTAGATTTTATCCTTGGCCGTAGACCCTTTTTCCTGTTATTCACACAATATTTCGTAAACAATTTAATTTGCGTTTTATATAAACTCATACCATAGCTAATATACTGACAATGGAGAATACAAAGAAAACATATGTATTTATCAAATTATAACTCATGTCCTCTGATGCACTTATATTCATCTAATACAATTACGTATAAATTATCAAATAGTGTTACAATGTTCCATTAATTTCTTCTGGAGTTATGGCCCTTGTTTCACTTTGTTGCACCTTGTGAATGCTCTAACAACAAAAGTTATCATCTGATCTGTATGAAATTTATATGCATTATTTAAATTATTCAAATGAAAAAAGCTATAAAATTTCATCAATTTCCGTTCATTACTTCTAGAGTTATGGGCATTTTTTCATTTTGTTATCATCTGATTTGTATGAAATATATATATATGCATCATTTAAATTAGTACAACGAAGATCCCTATTGAATTTCAGCTATTTCTGTTAATTAATCCAGAGTTATGGCCCTTGTTTCACTTTGTTGAACCTTGTGAACACTTTCACTGAGAAGTATCAATGTGTGACACCCATGTGTACTTAACGGACAGGTTAAAAACGACTGACACGGTGTGTATTCTTTGTTTCTCAGTGTTTAAAGACAAAAGTGATCATTCGATCTGTATGAAATTTATATGCATTATTTTAAATAAGGCAAATGAAGAGGCCTATTAAATTTCAGCAATTTCCGTCAATTACTTCTAGACTTATGGCCCTTGTTTTACTTTGTTGAACCTTGTGAACGTTCGAACGACAAAAGTTATCCAATCTGTTTGAAATTTATATGCATGATTTGAATTAGTCAAATGAAAAAGGCTATAGAATTTTATCAATTTCCGTTAATTTCTTCTAGAGTTATGGCCTTTGGTTTACTTTGTTAGACCTTGTGAATGCTCGAACTACTAAAGTTATCATTCGATCAGTATGAAATTTATATGCATCATTTAAATTAGTGGAACGAAGAAGCCTATTGAATTTCAGCAATTTCCATAAATTACTTCTAGAGTTATACCCTTTGTTTTACTTTGTTGAACCTTGTGAATGTTCGAATGACAAAGATTATCATCTGATCTGTTTGAATTTATATGCATTATTTAAGTTAGTAAAACGAAAAAGCCTGTTGAATTTCAACAATTTCTGTATATTACTTCTAGAGGAAGGGAAGCCACGCAAAAAATCGGCTAAGGAAGAATCTGCTATATTTTAGACTAACCAGCAAAATATTGAAGCCTAATGACGCAGTTTATTTCGTAAGCACTAAAGTTTAGTATATGGAACTTTTGTATGTGAAATATAAGTTAATAAGATCAAAAATATTGGAGAAACGTGAGTACAAAATTGTGTGAACACGTGCGATCCCCATGGGAGGAAGTCGCCATATTGGCTCTTCGTGTGACTGCCAAAATAGTGTCATATTCACAAAGAAAATATCTCAAACGAGACAGGTCATCAAGAAAAAACACACGTCATGAGTGGTGGCCAGAAACTTACAGCTGAAATGCTACCGAATTTGAATATAATAATAGATGAAACAGCGACGAACACAAAAACCTCCGCTTGTAAAAATGATATTATGAAAAATACCGGGAGTGAACAATCTCTAACACATCCACAAATTAATAATGAAAATAATATAGAAACCAACATAGAAACCAATGTGAAAGATATGTTTACAACCCTAGTGCAGAAGATTGATTCTATGAACAATAACATGGA